CAACCCAACCCACTTCACCACCCCACCAAACCCCACCGCCCTAGCCCACAGCCTAGAGAACCTCACCCTCTCCCACACCAACCCCACCTGGTTCATGGACACCGGAGCCTCCCACCATATCACCACCGACCCAGGTACTTTATCTCATGTACTTTCTTCAAACATTAATTCACCTATGCATATTATTGTTGGTAATGGTTCTAAAATAAGCACTACTGGTTATGGTCAGGGTACCCTTCCCACTTCCCCTCCCCTCACCCTAAATAATGTCCTTGTTTCCCCACACATCATACATAACCTCATCTCTGTCCGTCAATTTACTCGTGATAATAATTGCACTCTTGAATTTGATTCATGTGGTTTCTCTATTAAGGACAACCTGACGGGAGCCGTGATTCATCGATCCAATAGTGACGGACCTCTCTACCCCATCTCTTAAGCCACCTCCAGCTCTCAGCTTCATCTAGCACAAGTTGATCTTCCCACCTGGCATCGCCGTCTTGGACACCCCAGCCCAGCTGTTCTCAATGGAGTGTCACATTCTTTAGATAGATTAGCTAAATCTAGATTAGATCTTTTATGTCATGCATGTCAACTAGGCAAACATGTTCGCCTGCCTTTTCAGTCTTCAAGTCGTATTACTACTTTTCCCTTTCAGTTAATGCATACAGACTTATGGCAATCTCCTGTTCCTAGTGTAACTGGTTTTAAATTTTATATGTTTCTTCTTGATGATTTCTCCCATTACTTATGGATATTTCCCCTTCGTCATAAATCTGATGCTTATTCTCATCTTGTAAAATTTCATGCCCTTGTTAAGAACCAATTTAACACCACCATAAAATCTGTTTAATGTGATAATGGCACCGAATATAGAAACACCCCTCTTGCCACATTCTTCGAATCCCTAGGTATCCTCTTCCGCTTCTCTTGCCCTTACACCAGCCAACAAATGGGCGTGCTGAACGAACCATTCGCACCTTAAATAACACAGTTCGCACCCTACTCTTCCAGGAAAATCTCCCCCCTCATTTTTGGGTCGAAGCATTACATATGGCCACCCACCTCTTCAATATCCTTCCCACTACCACCCTAACAATCGCACCCCTCATGAAGTCCTCCATCGCACTTCCCCATCTTACACCCATCTTCGCGTCTTCGGTTGCCTCTGTTATCCTAATCTCTCTGCCACTGCACCCCACAAGCTAGCCCCTCGTTCTACTCGGTGTATCTTCCTTGGCTATCCGGAGTCTCAACGCGGCTACCGGTGCCTAGATCTCACCACACATAAGATCATCGTTT